ATCAGTCCTTTGTAGTAAGCTGTAGAGATACTTAGATATTCCATTAGTACGTTTTACAAAGATGAACACTGTTACTGAAAATGATATACTAAGGTATGATAGTTTAAACTAGTTATACAAAGTTTATCTGATGCTAGTACTTGCACATGGACAATATTTAAGTAAAAATGCTTTATAATATAGCTGCATTTTTCTTTTGGTGGTACTGTGTTCTATTTGCTTATGCCTTGGATGATTTTCCTTAGTGTAGTTGCATAGATTTGAAGCTGAAGAGAAACCATGTACTCTGATAGGATAATTTTTTTTCCTAACACAATATCTGAGCATTTTCTTAAACTTTTATAACTGTGGTGTCAGGCAACTTAGTTGGTCTCTGGTCTCTATTCTGGTTTCTCATTGCTGATGGCAATAGTTGGGTTCTCTGCCCTCTAAATATATTACTTTGTACACTAACTTGACCTTACCTGAAGTATTTTTTTTCCACCTTCCAGTTTGATACTTCAAGGCTCAGAAATGTTTAAGTTGCCATCTGTAAACTCAAATTTTCATTCTGTTACCTACTCTGAATGGGCTGTCTACTCTCTGTTCCTCCCAGACGGATGCTTACTTATTTTTAATTTTCAAACATCAGTTGTACAAGGGGAATTTCATTGTGACACAGCATAGCGTACCCTAATCACAGTCAACCCCCATCATCATCCTTTTCTTACTTAACTCCTCAGATTTCATTGTTTTGTTTTCATAGAGGCACACAAGAAACATCAATCATATTCTCTTTTGCCTTCCATTCACCATCTCCTGTCCCTCTGATAGCCACTTCCAGACAGTCTGTTTATATTGTCTTTTTTTTCCTTAGTGTGTTTTTTTAATTATGCAGATGGATTTCACTGTAATGTTTCACACATGCATTTATTGTATTTAAATAAGAGTAACCCTCTCTGTTACCTTCTCTTTCCTCATACCTCCCATCCTCTTTGTCCCATTGTTCAACAGCTCTCAATAAGATTCAGTATGTAATCTTAGTATATATTAATGATCTCCTTCATATTCATCCTCCACTCTCTTTCCATCTCCATCTTTCTTGTGCTTTCTGCAGAGTCTCATAGCTAGAAGCAGGTACTCTGTATATGTCTATGAAGACAAATTTTTTAAGTTTAGGTTCTACAAATGGGTGAAAACAAGCAATATTTGATTTTTTTTTTGAGTTTGACTTCTCTTGTCTTACTCAAAATAATGAATCTGGTTTATTTCACTTACATGATCTATTTACCTGTAAATGACATGATTTCATTCTTTTGATGTAATACTGTGTATATGTATTTATATAAATTTTCTAAATTCTTTCATCAGTTATAGGGCATCTGGGCTGTTTATACAGATATCTGCTATGTAAGAGTGTGCAGATGCTTCTGTACTATCTTATATTCTCTCAGATGTATGCTTAGTAATGGTGTCAGTAATTGTTCACAGGATATTTCTATGTTTAGTTTTTTTTGAGGAGTTTATACAGCTTTCCTTAGAAGTTGCTAGTTTACATTCCCACAAATAGTATGTAAGGTTTTCTTTTTCTCTGTATCCTCACCAGCATTAGTTTGTGCTCTTGTTGATATCTATTCTGATTGGAGTAAGATGAAATTTCAATATCATTTTGAGTGTATTTCCTTTATTGCTAGTATATATTTGTTGGCCATTAGTGTTACTTTTGAAAATAGTTTATTTGTCCACTTATTGATTGGGTTGTTGCTTTGTTTGGAGTTTAGATTTTTGAGCCCTTTCTGTATTTTCCCTATTTGAATCACTTTTCTTTCTCTTCTCTTATTTTTCTGGCTACAGTTTCAGCATTACTGAGTAAGAATGGAAGGAGTATCATTGCTGACTTTTGAGGAAATTTCAGTTTTTTGCCATTTAGTTACCTGTAGATCTGTCATTCATAGCCTTTATAATGTTGAAATAACATTCCTTCTGTTCCTAATTACTGAAGAGCTTTTATTGTAAAAAGATGTTGACTCTTGTCAGAGGCTTTTGCATTAATTGAGATGATCGTGTGATTCTTTGATTCTGCTTAGGAGCTATATTATGTTTGATTTATATGTATCGAATCATTCTTACATCTCTAGAATGAATCCAACTTGTGTGGCCTTTTTAATGTGTTGTTGAATTCATCTTGTATTTTATTGATAATTTTCATGTCTGCTCATCGAAGAGATTGGCCAGTACATATATTTGTGTGTCTTTGGTATCTAGATTTGAAGTAGTGTCCAAGTTAGAGGAGTACTGCTGTTCTTTAAAGGTCTGGTAGAATTCATCAGTCTGTCAGATCAGATCCTGGGCTTTCCATTGTTGAGAGACTATCACTGCTTCAATCACATTGCTTGTTGTCATTTAAGTGATTTATATCATTGGGATTCAATTGTAATAGGTCAGATACATCCAGAATTGTGTCCATTTTGTATAGGGTTTCCACCTTACTTGAATATAGGTCTTTAAAATATTTTATGATGATCCTCTGGAATTTCTTTTTTTATTTTTATCTCTTAATTTTGTTTAAGTCATCACCTTCCTCCTCCTCTTGGTTGCATTGTCTAGGAATTTATCAATCTTATTTGTCTTACTAAAGCAACTTCTTTTTTTGGGGGGGGGGGGGGGAGGGCCGGTGTATAGTTCTTAACTCTTAATTCTTTGATTTCTGCTCTTTTTTTTTCCTCCTAACTTGTTCTTTTAACAAATTTGCCTTGTTACTGTTTTTCTAGGAGTTTGACATGCATCATAAGTTTACTTTTGAGTTCGTTTATCTGGTTTCTTTTGTATTCACTTTGGTTTTATTTAGCTTTTTAAAAATGTTTTGAAAAATTATCTATAAATACTACAAAGGAGGTTCAATTCACCATGTCAGTTTATGAGTACAATATATCTTGATGTCACCCCTTCCATAATTCTCCCTTATTTCTCCCAATCATACCCATCCTCTTGATTTTTATTTCTTTACTTTTTACCATTCCTGGACCTTGACCTCAGGGTCTAGGCACTGTTCCTGAACTTTCTTTTGCTCAAGGCTAGCACTCTTATCAGTGAGTCATAGTGCCACTTCCAGCTTTTTCTGTTCATGTGGTACTGAGGAATCGAACTCAGGGATTTCATGCATGCTAGGCAAGCATTCTGCCACTAAGCCACATTCCTAGCCCCTTATTTAGTTTTTTATTTGAATTGTCTTTGAATTTGTTTTCTTCTATTTTCTTTGAGTTCATTGAGGTGTTTACACATATCCTCCTTCATCTAAGTGATTATTCATACTCACTTTGAGCCTAACCTTTTGAATTTCTTCTACTTCACTGTCACTCTGATTCTTTGTTGTATGATTGTTGACTTTTTGAGGTGTGGTATTATATTTTTCATGTTTCTTGTGTTCTTGCATTGAGATTTGCTCAGTTGAAGTCAGTTTGTGGCGTGGGAGTCTAGTCACCTGAAATCTTTGTGTTGGACTGTTCTCTGTGTTCTGACAGGGCTGAATATTACCTGGGTTAGTAGATTCTCACCACTGGCCTGAAGGTGTAACTGAGCAATAACAAATTCATTGATTCAATATCAAACCATATTCTCACCTAAAGCAAAACACTATTGACAACATTATCTATAAAACTAAAATCATAGTCATACATGGTATGGCTAGAAAAATAATTACTTGTGTAGGAGTTAGTAAAGAAAGTAAGAAGAAGGAAGGAAAAATGAAGATGAGAAGGGTAATGGAGCATGAGGCCTGCCAGGTATATACTAGTTTATAGGGTTATAGTTTAGTTGTCATGAAGAATGGTGGTATTGTCCACAGAGAGGTTGAAGAAAGGAAGGTGGTATAAATGGTTGTAATGGATAGGAGAAAAGTGAAAAGAAAAAACAAAAAAGTCTCTTCTTGATGGAAAAGAATGAATGCCTGTTCCTGGGTCTGTTCTCAATTAGATGTACTCTTCCAATCTCTGCTTCCTCTTGGGTGCTGGCTTGACCAGGTGCTCCCCAGATGACATGTTTCATGGTCAGTTAACAGGAGCAGCTGTGGGGTGAGGCAGGGACAGTTCCAGGGGTATCAAGTAGCAGTTGGGGATGAATGACAGGGTCTTTGTGCATAGCTGGTGGTTCAAACAACACTGCTACTCCTGCAGCCCACTTTGCCCTGCTCTAGAAGTCCAGTACCTGCCCTGGCTCTTTCCGTTTCTACATAGGCCACCTGTTCAGTGTTTCCTTTGGAGAGGAAGGGCAGGTGGGTTGCAGAAATTGTAAACCTAGCCTGTGGCTTCCTGTGTATAGACACCTAGGCCCCAGAACTATGTTTCTGTCTTAGCAAGCACAAGGGTCTGAGTTCAAATCCCAGTACCACAAAAAATGGGGAGCAGCACTGTCTCAATTAGATACTTCCCACAGTATCCAGGAACTCTACCTCCCCAATACTTCCCATAGAAAAGTGAAAACAAGTATGAGTCCACAAAGTCTTTGTAAACCATATGCTCCATCTCCTTATTCATAATGGTAGATAACTTATATGCTCAAAAACAGGAGAAAGGATGCTCAGTGACTCATCCATATTAACACTACTTAGCAACCAAAAGAGAAATTACTGGTGAATCTCAAACCGTACTAGCTTTCCAAAGAAGCTAACCAGAGAGCACATAAAATGATCCTATTTACATACCTGTAATGAGTAAATCTATCTATGGTGACAGAAATTAGAAAAGAGGAGAGAGTGAAGAAACACTTTTTAGATTATAAATTGTTCTGTATCTTGTTTTGGACATCTGGCTAGTCTCGCTACAGAGTAAGGCTCTTATCACAAAGGAAAAAATTACTTGATACCATTGGGCAGTGTTTATTATATACATGTGTTTTATTTTTAAAAAGTTTAAAAAGATTGGGTGACCCCCAGAAAATTCACCCACTTTAAACTTTTTTCTTAAATAATAAGAATGTTTGGTATATATTTGGGTGATCTCAAACCTTTGTCTTTTGCATTCTAGGCTATACTCCTGGCACCCCCTACAAAGTGTCATGTTCCCCTACCAGCGGGGCTGTGCCGCCATATTCCTCCTCTCCCAACCCCTACCAGACAGCCGTGTACCCTGTAAGAAGTGCCTACCCCCAGCAGAGCCCATATGCCCAGGTATGCTTGGGCATGCCCTGTAGGAGGGAGGTATGGACAGGGTGTGGTTCCATCAGATCTACATAGCCATGGGACCCTGTGGCAGTTGTCTCTCTTCTTCCCACAGCAAGGCACTTACTATACACAACCACTGTATGCAGCGCCCCCTCACGTCATCCACCACACCACAGTGGTGCAGCCTAATGGCATGCCAGCGACTGTGTACCCTGCGCCCATCCCTCCTCCTCGAGGCAATGGGGTCACCATGGGCATGGTTGCTGGGACCACCATGGCCATGTCAGCAGGTGAGTCCTTTTTTCTTGGGTCTTGTTCCTTTTCATTTGTGAGCGCTGGAGTAAGGTGGGAGAACCAATGAAATGGTGGTTAGCTCTGACATTCAGTAGTATGGCAGTACTGCACAGGCAGTCCTTCCTTTCCCTTCAAGAGTATGGGGTGAGGTAGGCTGGGTCCTGTGGACTGACATGAATCAAGTGCCCCAGTGCCACCACCATGGGGAGGTGGGGAGGGGGCGGCATGTAACTGAGCACCACTCCCTGAATTAGATGGAGGTGCTGTATTTGTTGGTGAACTTGGTAGGCCATTTGGCAGCAAGGATGAGGAATGACTAGATGGTCTCATACTCCATGGATTTGAGGAAACTCCAGCAGAAGGACTCACACACTTCACAAGTCCCTATAACATCTTCAATCCCATTTGCATGAGTGGGGAAGTTTGAATGTAGAAAAGCTGGCCTGTGTTAATAGAAGTAACAACTACTTGTTAAATTCTTTGGCATTCATCTACTTTACTTTTCCTGGTCTCTAGGTTAGGAGGTCATTATAGGAGTTGGGGCTTGTTTTTGTCTAGGGATGAGTCACATTTAGCTCTTTGGATAAATGTGGTTGTCCTCAGACTTTCCACATAGTGTGCATTTTTTTTGCTCATGACTGAGTTTTAAGGAAAATAAACAAGTACATAAGGAAATGATTCTAGAGAGAAAGGTAGTGCAACAGCAATCTGTGTTGCTGAGAATCTACTTGTCCCTGTAATTTCCTGTCAGGGCAGAGAAGACTGGCACAAAAGCCTGAAGGCCCTGAGGTAGCGGGGCCAACAGAAAGTGAATGACAGACGTAGGCACTTGGGTTGACACTGGGTTAAACGTGATCCTTATTCTCATACTTGGGGTTGCTGTGTTTCTGAAGTTTGAGCAAAAATGTACTCTCAATGTAGTCTGAAACATACATGGTATAGAATTGCCACTTCACATTTTCCTTTTTTAAAAAAAAAAACATGCTAAAGCTGGGCACTGGTGGCTCACACCTGTAATCCTAGCTACTCAGGAGGCTGAGATCTGAGGATCATGGTTCAAAGCCATCTTGTGCAGAAAAGTCCGTGAGACTTATCTCCAATAAACCACTAGAAAACTGGAAGTGGCTCTGTGGCTCAAGTGGTAGAGTGCTTGCCTTGAGCTGAAGAGTGCAAGGACAGCACCCAAGCCCAGAGTTCAAGCCCCATGACCAACCAAAAAACAACAACAACAAAAAAAAACATGCTAACAACTTTTCAGTATGTAGTATGGTACTCAGTATATTCACATTGTTGTAAAATGGATCTTTACAAAACTTTCATCCTGCAAAACTCCTTTTTCCCTTCCCCTTTAGCTCAAATTCTAGTCTGTGTTCTGTCTTTGAATTTGATAACTTTTAGTATTCCTGAGTAGAATCATGCAGTGATTTCAATTCATCCCTGATTTTTTCATTTAGCATAATGTGCTTAAGGTTTGCCTGTATTATACAGTGTATCAGAATTTCCTTCCCTTTTAAGGCTAACAGTACTCACTTTTTGTAGTTTCTTGTCCATAAAAATTATTATAGATGCTCTCGGAAGGGGTGGTACACAGACTTTTATAAACATTATTAGCAATATCAAATGTGCTGTGAACAGGCTATATTCTTTTAGTTTTTGGCTATTCAGGATATTCTAAGGAGTTGGTCTAACCTTACTTTTCCCATCTGTCTTCCTTTCATAAAGAGGCTGGACCTACCTGCTTGTCGCTTGTCGAGGAAGTGAGCTGTGCTGAACAAGTCTCCTATGTAGTATGAGGGCCTTCCTTGTGTGTGATGTACTGTTCTTTCTTCCAGGTACTCTGCTGACTGCTCATTCTCCAACTCCTGTTGCCCCTCACCCAGTCACTGTGCCCACATACCGGGCCCCAGGAACACCCACCTACAGCTACGTGCCCCCTCAATGGTGATTACCCTGCAAATAAATGTAAGTGACCACTGGAGGCAGGCAGGGTTCTGGCAAAAGTATATTTCCCTATGGAGACGGGCAGACCTTTTTTTTTTTTTTTTGTCGGTTGTGGGGCTTGAACTCTGGGCTTGGGCGCTGTCCCTCAGCTCTTCAGCTCAAGGCGAGCGCTCTACCGCTTGAGCCACAGTGCCACTTCCAGTTTTCTAGTGGTTTATTGGAGATAAGAGTCTCAGGGACTTTCCTGCCTGGGCTGGCTTTGAACCGCGATCCTGAGATCTCAGCCTCCTGAGTAACCAGGATTATAGCCGTGAGCCACCGGCGCCCGGCTAAACCTACTTCTTATTCAAGCATTAGCAAGAAAAATACTCCTGACCGTTGTTTTATGTTAGTGTTCTTAAAGCAGAGGAGAAAGAAAATATTATTTATTGTTTATACAGCATGGAAGACTCTTGCATCTCCTTCCTGCCTGCTTCAGGAAATAGGGCTCTGATTGTTACTGGGTGGGAGTGGTGGCGCAGGGGTCTTTGTAATGTAAGTGGGAAGGAGTACAACTGCCCTTTTTGCCCCAGTAGATACCCTCCTCCTGTAGTTTTCAGAGCATCCATGCCTTGAAGATCCCCACTAACTTAGGTTTGTCATTCTCCCCCAGGTGTGAGGATGGAGCTGTGCAGTCACATCATTGAGTTCCACAGCTGGTGCTGCAGGCCTTGTGCCTCCAACCAGGACTTTCTTCTTAATGCTCTCGACACTTAGCTAAATACTACGTCCCGGCCCAGCAGGTCCCAGCGCCGTTAGTCTCCAACTAACTCTGTGGGTTGGTCTTAAAGCAAATCCTGTTTTGTGGACTGCCTGGCAATTTTTTAGCTAACTGTAATGATAAAAAAAACAAAAGGGAGTATTAATCTATTCTGACTCATATCTAGTTGAATGCATGTTTAAAAAATACACAAAAACAAAGCTTGCTCAATCTACCTGCAGTGACTGATGCAAAACCATCATATGCAAAACCCAAAGGTATGGAAATGTATTTTACAACTTGTATCACTAATGCACTGTTGTAATGTATGCAGTCTTAAAGTTACATGTGTTAAAGTGAATTTCTTCCTAGAGCATCTGGATACCAGAGATGACTCTTCAGCCACTTGGGGTTGATGTGGGTTGCCAGTTAGGGATGTGAGCTTTTAGTTTTTAGTGACCTGTTTTGTTTGGGGTTTTGGGGGGTACTCACTGAGCCAGGAAGTTGCTGCAGAGGTGGGATGAGAGTAGGTTGGCTGCAGTGGTTTGGGAGCCACTGGTTAGCAGTTGTCCCTGTCCTGTTGAGGTTTGGTGGGGTTAGGGAGCAGATACATGCTTAAAATACCATCACACAAGATGAGAGCGGAGGGAGCCGTGACAGTTTGGGGTGGGAGGTGGTCTGTGTGTCAGCACCACAATGGTCTTTGCCACCTGAGCATTTATACATGACTCTTACAGAGAATCATGCTTTGTATATTTGTTGGAAAACTATGTAGAACAATTTTTTTTTTCCTGAGAGTGAAAGAGCCACGCTTAGAAGAGGCATTGCCCTCTGCTTTAGCATAGAAAGTCATCCCCTGTTTTTATTTCCCCAAGAAATACATGAATCAGGTGAAAACACATAGGCATCACTGTTTTCATTCAACAAGGGCAAAGATTACAACTATATGTAATGAAGTATATTTAAAAGGGAACAAAATTGTATTTTAAATTCCTCATGTTTCTTAAAAGCCAAGCCATGAGTATATCTGAAAATGGTAGTACATATGGCTGGTCTTGGGGAGGTGTCCACCTGGTGAAGACTTGTCTTCTCGACTGGCTACAGAAGACTTGTAAAGCTGGGATGAGAGGGAGCTTCTTTTGCTACCTTTTGTAGCTGAAAGCATTCAATGCCAAGCACATGTGGACAGCAAAAGGGTGAGGAGGCATCAGGAAGCTCTTGGCTGCCCAGTATCCATTATGGAAACGATTTTAAGGTTAAAATCAGTATATATATAAGAAATCAAGAGGATTTTGTTTTTGCCTAAATATGCCCAACTTGCATCAGTGGAACTGTGTCTGTGTCCTCGGTGAGGGCATGAGGATATGTTCATGTGTTCCATTTCAGGGGTCTGTGGGATAGGAGCACATAGTTTTCCAACCCCATCCTGTGTAGAGTGCTATGGGCTTTGGCTGGGATGCTGGCCTGTGCTTCTGCGTCTGGCAGCTCGGTCAGGGCTGTGGCGCTGCAGTGAAGGTGCCTCAGTGGTCAGCCTGGTTAGTAGGTGGAACTCTTGGCCACTGGGCCTTTGGTGACCCTATTTTTTTTATAGTAATACTTTAATTTTTTTAACATTTCATTTTATAATAAGTCTAGGGAGGTTTTTGCATGGATCAGTGTAAACAGAAGATTTCTTTATTCCTAATACCCATTAACATAGAATGTTTACTGATAAGTACTTTAAACCATGTCATGAGCACTTAGTATGTGTGTGTGTGTGCGTGTGTGTGTGTGCGCATGTGTGAGCGTGTGTGTGTGTGTGTCTGTGTCTGTGTGTGTATGTATAGTGGCAACTCCATCTGTATAGTGGATGGTTTGCAAATATCAGTAGGTTTCTAGGATTCCAGGGATTCAACAGACCAGAAGGCAGTTTTCTCAGGTGAAGGACCATCCATCAGGAGAATATACTCATGATTTTAGTGTGTGCTAAAACACACACACACACACACATACACATACACACATATACCCTTAGAAAGTTACACAATTTCTTGTCTAAAGGAAGTTACCTAGGCTTGGCTGTAGGCCAGCTTGAGATGGGTACACACAGTGTGTTCACAGTGCTGAGGTAAAAGTGTTTCCATATGAAGAAGAATGAGTTCCATCTCCTCCACTGTTAAATCTGATTTGTAAACACTTTACCTATATTTAAAAGTCTTGCTTTTTTTCTGAAATTGAGTTGAGATACTATCAAATACTGCATATACCATTCATCTGTGTGGAAATACTTTTCAAATTTGAAACTGTTAGGACATCAGCTCTCAAATCTGGTGATGAAAGTAGATTGTCATTTTTTAACAGCAATTCAGTTCTAGTAAAAAGGCCTAGAACTTGGATCAGTATTATTATAAAACTATAATTTGGTGTCTCAAGCATAATGTGGAACATTCCAAGAGTTTTGTGCTTTTGTTTGACATTCCTGACTTGTGAGTCCTAAAGTTGAACTAAAAGTTTAGAAATTGAGACAGGGAAGCACAGGGCCTAATTCCTGTGAACATGGATATCATTAGAGCTATCAAAAGTTTTGTTCTCAGCCTTAGGTTGTGTGTTCTTTCACTGTGTCCTGTTACTGCTCTCTCCTTGCAGAATTCTAGTTTAGTTGTGGTCTGGAGGTGGTTCTGTTGAGTGACCTGTGAGCTTCCTGACTCAGAAGTGAGGCCCCCTTAGGACCTTGCCAATCAGGTGACATAGACATAGGAGACTTGGGCAAATTCATGTCTCTTGTGGTCCTGTTTTTAAAAAAATAAAATAAAAACAAACATTGTTGCAGTTATGGCCTGCTGATTGGTGTTGTGTGAAACTTATTCTTGAGTACCCTGAGGAGGCAGTGTTTTCAGGAGGCTGAGTGTCCTGCCCTTCCCTCTGTTAGCACCTGTGCCTCATTCTGTCTGGTGGTGCTATCTGCTGAGACAGATGTGGCCCAAGAAGTAATTAAAGAATGTTTTCTGGGAGAGAAGGGAGCTCATTCTATGGGCTTTTATGATGATGCCAGTGGAGGTGATGAGAGCCTGGAGCATACCAGCTATAAATACTGGGGCTGCTTCACAGAGGAAATCGTTTCCTCACCAGGCCTTGTTGAACATTTATGAACAGTGTCACTTTGACCAATTGGGCCACCCCTCACTCAAGAGTTGACAGTTGGCTACTGCAGTTTTTGTCTGCCTGTCACTTCCTGAATGGCACAGAACCTCCCACACATGCAGTGGCAGGTGGGTGGCTGCTGGTCCTTCTCTGGTGCTCTATTCTAAGGGGTCTGGAGTGTATGAGTATGTTTGGATCTAGGAGGGCTGAGCTTGACTCTCCTGCCCCAACATATCCCAGGCTTGTATGTGTTTTTCTCTGAGCTGCCCACTGCCCTCGCCCACTGAAAGGCAGCTGACTGATAAGCTGTGGATTACATGCATGAGAACAAAACAGCTCTTGGTAGGAATGAATGGCAGAGTTGATCTCGTATGTTTCAGAGAATCTATCCCTTCCCATTCTCCATTAACAGAAAACAGGTATAACCTTACTTTAGTCCAGGGGACCAAATCAGTTGGTACAGGGAGACAGAGACAAGCAACTAGGTGTAGGGAGCCTCCGTATCTTTCAGGAGGAGGGTAGGTGTCTAAGACTAGTGTGACAAGCAACTCCCTGGACAAGGTAGCTGTGGGCCTTGGTACAGAACAGCTGTCAGGAGAACAGAACAGTCAAGCCTGGCTCCCTGCAGGGTTGCTGATACTACTCAGAGGAGAGGCCCCAAGGAGCCTTAGTGTTGTGACTGAATAGGAAATGGTTCCTTTTCCTTTTTTTCTTTTTTTTTTTTTTTAATAATTTTTAAATACTTTTTTACACTGTTCTCTTGGTACCTTTTTTAAGCTTAAGTCAGCATTGTCTTCCAGTGTTACAGGCATCCCTTGCCTCTGCATTGAACATAATGTGTCAATAACAAAGGAATGGACCATCCATCCTGAGCCAGTTCAATTAGGTGTAAATCACACAGTTTTAATTTTTTATGCAATCTGATGAGTAGATGAACTCAGATTTAAAATTCTTCAAAGCACGTTTATTGTAACAATAATTGTTATGTATTAATACTGCAGTTTTCAATAAAGATTGACTTGTGTTGCATATTCTGGTTTTCATGATTTGTTGGTGTGGCTCCTTTCCGAAGGTAGCAAGCATGGCCTGACTAAGAAGGTGCTGCGGCTTCTTGGCAGTCAGGATTGCCAGAGTGTGCCAGGTGGCTCTGGGTGGGGTGGGGTGTAGTGGAAGAGGCAATGGTGCGCTTCCCTTCCTGGCTTTTGTGACTGGGCCCCCCTGGGGAGACATATACTAGTCCCCTTTTCAGAGGGTGCTGTGGCCTAGGAACACTGTGGACCACCTATCTCTCAAACCTACATTTGCCTACTTCAGCCAAGCCCTTGGAAGCAGCCCACAAAGAAAGCAATCAGTGCTTCAAGCCTTGGGGACAGAGTATAAGGGGATGGTCACTGCCCCTCCTCTTCTGCTGTGTGTACTCCAGTTTCCCTGGATCTCTGCATCATGCAGCCCTGCCACCTGAGACTGTCCCACAAGGGCAGTAGCTTGCAACCAAGCAAGCCTGTCACTCTACCACTTCTGGAATCTCTGGGTTTACTCTTACAGGCAAAAGAAGGATGAGTGGATGTATGGAAGAGAAAATGCACACACATAATAACAGAAAACAATGGCTGACTGGTAGGTTTTTGCAAATTTCTTTATGAAATTAAATGTGGTTTCTGGCTTGGAGAAGGTAGAGTACAAGAGTGACTGTCCATGCTGCTAAATCCTGTGGGCTCTGCACTGACACACAGGCCTGGGCTGTGGTGCCCGCTCCTCAGGTAGAATGCAGGTCTCAGCCTATTCCTGGAGTAGGGGCGTCAGTCCTGGATGCTGCACCACAGAATTCAGTCCTTATGGCTTCTCACGCTCAGTAGGGTAAGGCAATCTTTCTGTGTCACTAACAATTACTTCTCGCCATTGTTAGAAAAAAACAAGATGACAAAATCCAAACAACAGGAACCAGGTAGTTCTGCAGCCAAGCCCCAGCTACAGTGGACTAGTCACAAGCCTGGACCAGAGTATGTGGCTGACTAGTTTTTTGTATTTCCCACTACACACATCACAAGTGAAAGGGTTTCCAGCAGCCAACAGTGTCTAAAGGGGCTGGGAAGCAAAAGGTCAGCTCTGGGCTAGATGTTTGGGCACAGAATCTTGGTTCCTGTCTTCTGAGGTTTAGTGGCCCTGTACCACCACCAGGGCCAGTGGCCTGAATGGACAGCAGAGGGCACATAGCCTGGCTTTTGCAGGTAGCTGATGGCCATAGAGTAGGTCTCTCCTGCCCAAAGAAAATAGGAGTGGGGATGATTAGATTTCCAGAGTCCCAGGGCAGACAGAGCCTTCTGTGTTGTCAGCCTGGATGGTGGTTCTGTGTTGTGGCTCCCAGCCTCATGGTTAATGGAGGCCCCATGAAGGTCCAGAGTGCAGGAAGAGGGGCAAGTGCAGGCTGCAGGAGAGGTGCACATGCGCGTGCAGGGCTTTGCCTCTTCTAGCTGGACTTACTGCACTAGCAGTGAGGAACCAAGGAAGGTAGTGCGGACCTGTATGCCCTGGTGTCAATGAACAACTCCCAATTACAGCCCTGTTTACTTGTACCTTGCAAAATAGGCAGAGGAAGGTCAGTTGGAGTGAGCCTGGGGAGAAAGCTGAGGGCTGTGGGCCAGCAGGTCCACAAAGTGTTGTCAGGAGACTGTTGGGCTCACTTTCGGAAGGGTGCCAGCCGGCTGATGCTGTGCCAGAAGGTAGATGGCTTCCTCCTGGGCTCTGCCAGCACCAAGGCCTGCTGCTGGGGCCGGCTGGTGGGCAGTGTGGGGTGCTTCTGGCGTGTCAGGTAGCAGGGCCTACCAACAGCTGGGCAGGGAGAGAGCAGCAGGGGTCAGATGACGCAGGGGTCAGATTACACAGGGCCAGAGGAGCCCATCCAGGGACTGTGCCACAGGCCCCCATGGAGGGCAGTCTTCCTGTAAGGGACTTGCTTCCTGAGCGCTGACCACACTGGAGCCCAGGCTGCTTGGAGCCACTGACCTGGGTTTGGCTATCCTTGTGAAAGGGGGCAAGGCGGACCCTTACCTAGGCAGCAGTGAAGGTACCTTTTAGAGAGTAGTCAGGGAGCCAGATGCAGCAGCTCTTGCCTGTAATCCTAGCTATTTGGCAAGTTGAGGTCAGGAGGAAGCTAGTTCAAAACAAGCTTGTGCTAAAAAAATTCATGAGTCCTGGTCTCATCCTACAAAAAGGTAGGCATGGTGCATGCTAGTTATCTCAGTTATGAAGGAAGCATTAAAAAATAAAATCACAGGCTGGCTGCTGGCTCTCACCTCCAATCCTAGCTGCTTGGGAGGCTGAGATCTGTGGATCACAGTTCAAAACCAGCTCAGGCAGGAATGTCTTTGAGACTTATCCTCTAATTAACCACCACAAAGCCAGAAGTAGAGTTGTGGCTCAAGCGGCAGAGCCCTAGCCATGAGCACAAATGCTCAGGGACAGTGCCCAGGCCTTAAGTTCAAGTCCTAGTAACGGCATGCACGCATATACAGAATCTCAGTTCATTCTGGCCCAGGCAGAAAATGAGACTGTCTTAAAAACAGCCAGAACCAAAAGGGTCTCCCTGAGTTTAAGTCCCAATACTGCCTCCCCTCAAAAGTAAAGCCTGGCAGAGGGGAATGAGGGGGGTCAAGAGTAAGAGTATCCGTGTACTGGTCTGAGCTTTGTCATCTGTGGCCCCTTGTCACCAAACTTTGTAGTGGGTACCTAAAAGGGACTGGGGGGCTTCTCTGGAGGGGGGGGGGTCAGAGATGGGAACAGAATCAAGGCCAGACCCCCCAGGAAGGTGACTGTTCCACTTACCTTTGGGCTTCCCCAGGGCCTGCTGCTTGCTGGCGTTCAGCATGGCCTGCTTCCTCTGCATTTCTGTGATGGAGAAGCCTGTAGGGAGGGCACGGATGAGACTGCAGCCTCGCCCTCCTCTCCTGCTCAAGGGTGTCTGCTCACAGTGCTTCCATCATACCTTGAACTGATTCCTAGCCACTCAGCCTGCCTGCCTGCCTTCTCTAGAGGATGAAGATCCCTGAGGTCTTCCTCCTGATCCCTGTGCCCCACCCCACATAGTATCTAGTGACCTCTTCCCTGAAGGGCAGTCTCTTTCCCAGACCCAGCATCAGTAAATATGGCCCATTCCTAAGAGAGAGGATGTGTGTACTGGGGAGATGGTGCTCACAGGCAGTGGCAGCTTCTGGAGGCCTGATGTCTATCCTGCTCACCCAAGACCTAAACCATCTGGAAAAGGGTTCCCCCAGGGACCTCACAGACACTGTAGGCGTGAATGTGTGTGTGTGTGCCTCCGGCCCAGGCTGAACCCTGGCTGAGGACCACCACTCCTGCCAGTGCAATGAGGGCAGCGCCTTTGCTCACCAGTAAGGCCAGGAGGTTCCTGGAACTTGGACAAGCCCTGAGGCCCCTGGGAGGTACCCACTCATTGTTTCAGGGGGATTCTGGGAGCCAAGCTGGCCAGGAGGGCTGGATGAGCCTAGAGGCCTGGCAAAGCTTGATAGGGGTTCGAACCTGTCTCTTGGTCGAGCTGCACCTGCTCCCTCTCCCGGGCAAAGGCTTTGAGCCAGCGCTGCTTCTGCTCAGGCTTCCTGGCACACAGTAGGTAGCTGTCCCCTGAGGTGCCACAGCATAGCCGGAAGGCATTCTTGACACTCACATGAAGTTCTCGATCTTTCCCATCCTCCACATCCACCACCTCCAGACTGTCCATGTCCAGCCGGCCCTTGTAATACAGCACATCCCGGCGAAGCAGGTCCTGCCAGATAGGCCTTGAGTCCCAGCTGTTCACATCCAGAACGAATCCCCTCTCCCCAAGCCACCTCCCCAGCAGATAGTGAGCACCTGGCAGCAAGACAGGGCCTGGTGCAGTCCACAACTGGGCCAAACTGTGGAGGAGCCTTGTCTGGTGACTAGCCACTGGTCACCCACTGGCTCCCCTGTTCATTTAATGGAGAGACAGCCTCCCAAACTAAGGAAACGGCCCACACACATAGCAGAGCATAATGAACAAGAGGGTTCAGTAGGTAGAAATCACTATGCCACAAGCAGGATCAAGCAATAAAGGGAGGCAAAGGAGGCTGGGAGGAAGCTGGATTAAAGGAGCCCATGGCCAGCAAGGGAGGATGCAGGCTTGAGCAGGCAGGGACCAGATGAAGAGGGGAGACTGTTCTTATAGCAGTGGACTGGTCAGAGAACTGTCCCACAGTTTCTGAGTTCCCACTGCGGAGAGCCACCCACACCTCATCCTATCCCGGTGTCCAGAGCAAGGAACAGCTCGTGTTAGCTCCTTTTCTCTGGCCTGAGGCCCCAGCAGCAGCCTCTACATGAGGCCAGTCTAGCAGGGTAGAGCAAATGGTACCTTCTTACAGTAGATGAGCTGGTGGTCAAAAAGAAAGAACATTCTCTGCTGGTTCTTAGCTTGAGGCTGTGTGACACGAGTTAGCTCCCCCGAGTAGATGAGTTCTGAGCTCCTGACCAAGAGATCTTCCCCCTAGGAGACCCCGAGGAGAGTCATGAGTGAGTCTTCCCACCTTGAGTTCTACTATCTACTCCCATGGCAGGTGGGTGGGGCCTTCCCGCTGTCCTTCCAGTAGGCCAGGCCAGTCCAAGAAAGCAAAGTTCCTGAAGCCGAGGGAGATACCCAGCCTTACAGGTCTGGTATGGGACAGGAGGCAGCTCTGACCACTTGCAGAAAAGGACACCACTGCTGCTGGTGGCCTCAGGTAACATTTGAGCTCATATGGCCTGACAGAACTCCACACTGATTTTGAAAACAGCAGTAGGAAACAATAAAATGTCCCATTGCTGAAATTTTATGTTGATTACAAGTTGAACTATTTTAGATATATTGAATGAAATAAAGCATTGAATCATCCATCTTCATCTTTTTTTTATAAAATGGCTACTAGAAAGTATAAAATTTATATGATCCTTTGATTAGATAGTGCTGCCCTGGAGAAAAATTAGACTTGACTGGAATTCACGTCTGCAATGAATATTACCTGAATTTTATCCATGCTTCGAATTTGCAGACCAAACTTTGCCCCCTTCTGTTTCCTGCTTGAAGGTGAAAACCACAATAGGAACAGTTGGCAGCCATCTAGTTTGGGATAACTGATCTGCACCCAGAGCTTGGCCTCAGAACTCATCAACCACCTTGGTTATCTCCACCATCCTCTGTGTGTGTGTATGTGTGTGTGTGTGTGTGTGTGTGTGTGTTTGTGTGTGTGTATACGTGCACATACACATTCATGTTTGCATATGCATACATGAACCAGTGCTAGGGCTTCCACTCGGGGCCTTCTGCTCTTTCTTGGCTTTTTTGCTCATGGCTGGTTTTCTACCACTGGAGCAATGCCCCCATTTCTGGCTTTCTGCTGGTTAATTGAAGGTAATGGTCCCCGTTGGATGCCTGTAATCCTAGCTACTCAGGAGGAGATCTGAGGATTGCAGCTTGAAGCCAGCCCGTGCAGGGAAGTCCATGAGACTTTTATTTCAAATAAACTACTCTGAAAAACCTAGAAATGGCACTGACTCAAGTGGTAGAATGCTAGTCTTGAGCACAAAGAGGCTCATGGACAGCACCCAGGCCCTGAGTTTAAGCCCCAGGACCAGAAAAAACAAAACAAACCCAACCTAAGCCCAACAACAACACAAAGACAAAAAAGCCTCTTGGATTTATTTATCTGCCCAGCCTGGCTTTGAACTGAGATCCTCAGATCCCAGCCTACTGAGTAGCTAGGATTACAAGCATGAACTACTGGCACCCAGCTTAGATTTATTTTTAGGGCTGAATTCTGATTGGTCTTCAGGTAATTTTTAGACCTCACAGTTGGCACAATGCATGGCAGTGGACATTGGGAGCCCTCACATGTCTCAGAGCTTCAGCAGGAGACAGATTGGCAAGTTCAGTTGAAGCCTTGGTGTGTCTTTAGAAGGCAAAATTGAAAGGTATGTGGGGTTTGTAAAAATCCAGAAAAATGGGCCTAAAGCCAACTGTTGGAAGTCCTAGAAATGAATGAAAACTCATATCCAGCCTGTCTTCGGCAAGGAGAAACAATCACTTTTGAAAGCTGCATGAACTACAATGTAAGTCCAGGCTTCTGGGCTGGTGGCTCCAGGGAGAAGAGTAATTTCACAATGGAAGGACAGCTAGCTCCAGGTGCCACAGGCATTACACACCCATGCAAGAGAACCTGTTTTCCTACCACTAGTGTTTCTACAGACTCCCAGGAACATGGACATTACCAGCCTCTACTCTCCCCTAGACTTGTGAGGAGCAAGCACAATTTCAGAGCAAGGGCTTCAAGAGCATTTCCCGGACCCTTAGGCCCCTCACCTCCCAGTCCTCTATGGAGCTCTGCCATTGAGCAATCTTGTCAATGTTTTCAAGTCTCCGTTTCCGTTCATTGATGAGCTGGGCCACGTTCTTCATAGCATGCAAGGCAGCTTCAACATCCTTGAAATCCCTGTGGCAGAGCAAAGATAGAATGGTGCTGGCCAGCCAGAGAGCAGAGGAGTTTCCTGCAGCCCAGTATGAAGCTGCCTCCCCTGGGAGCTGTCCACCTTTACCTGTTAAATGCACAGATCTCTTCTCCATAAATTCAGGGGCAGAGTAGAGCTTAGTATGCCATTCATGTTCTCTCCCTTCACTTCAATGATAACTCATAAAGAGACCTTGCCCTATCCTGTGCTATTAATTGCTCTAGTGACTACAGCAGTGCCAAGCACACTGTAAGATCTCCAACAGCTAGCAACTGGAGGTGTGCAGAGAGAGCCTCCAGTGCTTCCCAGACGCACCCTCCTACCTGTGCTGGGGATGTGTGTACTTGAGCAGCTCGGCCAATTGCAAGGGGTACTTGCAGATCTTCTGCACTGGGGTCAGCAAGAAGCCATCGAGGGAGATGTCAATCATCTTTTGCAGTAGTCGGCAGGCCTCAAAGAAGTATACATACTTGCTGAGCTTGGTGAGTCGGGAAAGCTCCATGCAGGCATTTGGGTGGTTGTTGCAGTACTCCGAGTAGATCTGGAAGTCTGCTTGCTGGGAACAGAGCTGGAGGTCAGGATAGGTGTGTCCTGCAGCCCCAGACAACTGGCCAAACAACACAGGGCAGAGCCTAGGCCTGTGCTTTAGGAGTTGGGCTTTATCTACCTACTTCACTGAAGCACAGGCTGCGTAGAGTCACACTCAGGAAGAACCTGTGAAACTTGTGTTCTCCCCTTCTGTTGCTACTGAGCTTTCTCAACAGTGCCTTTGGGACTCTATCAGACTTTTTTTGTTGTTGTTGTTGGTCGTGGGGCTTGAACTCTGGACTTGGGCGCTGTCCCTGTGCTCTTCAGCTCAAGGCGAGCACTCTACTGCTTGAGCCACAGCACCAATTCCAGTTTTCTAGTGGTTTATTGGAGATAAGAGTCTCACAGACTTTCCTGCCTGGGCTAGCTTTGAACCGTGATCCTCAAATCTCAGCCTCCTGAGTAGCTAGGATTACAGGCGTGAGGCACTGACGCCCGGCTCTATCAGACTTTCAAATGAAATCAATTATGCTCATCAGGAAGAGCTATCTGTGCTGAAGGAGAGCCCTGGAAGGTAAAGAGACAGGCACCCTTTGCTCAACCCCAAAGGCTACCCTGGGAGAGGGCAAGGAGAATCCCTACTTGTCAGGTAAGGCTGGAAGCAGTCCCCTGTAGTCCAGCTCAGTCGGTGGCTCCTGCTGAATGCCACCAGCTTTTACAGTGGATGCAGGCTGTAATTCCATGCAGATTCCAGGCTGCTCACTGTGTAAGGAACCTTGGAATCTGCTATAAACAACCAGCCCCAGGGGTGTTGCCTTCACTTTATCCCCTGCAGAGGCTTGAGTCCCTTTGTTGCCTTCACTGGCTTAATTTCTCTTGGCAGAGATGCTACCAGCCCTGGTAGCTGGGCAGGAGGCCAGGGTCTGGTGCACCCAGGAGTCTGGACGCAGTGGGAAGCGAGTGGTAGGTTGCCTGTGCTAGAGCAGGGAGCCAGGCTCAAGATACACTAGGGAGAGTATAATAGGGTGTCCTGGGCAGGGAGAGAGGGGCACAGAGCGCCCTGGCTTGGATGAAGGTGGGGGGGCCTATGCTCACATGTTCCAGGAAGCAGGCCCCCAGCTCGCTGAGGTGCGGGCGCTCCCTGTTGAACCTCCGCTCCAGGGCCTTCACAAATGCCTTCTGGCAGCGGTAGATCTCCTCGATGTTCCCGAAGATGGTCTGTAGCTGCTCTTCGCTGAACATGTCTGCGCGCTTGCGACACTGCCTGATGTAGCCCTGGGGAGCAGGCTTGGTCAGGGCTCTCCGGGGCCCTGCCTGCACTCCCCTCCGATGCCCCCTGCCGCCTCCAGCACCTCCCCCCACCCACCTTCCCTCTCCCTCACCCCCTACCTCACAGATATCCCGCAGGTGTTTGATGTAGTCCCGCTCTGTGCTGAGGATCTCCCTGATGACATTGGTACGCATCTGGTCCTTGCTGCTCTGTGCCTCGGCCCCACCGTCCTCTTGTTCACCATCCCCGGCCTGTGGGGCCTCATCGTCCCCGGGCTCATCCTGGTTCACCCGCAGCTGCAGCCAAAGAAAGGCAGGTCAGTGCCCCATGCCCTCAGAGACAGTCCCTGTGCACTGCACAGCACCGTGGGGACCCCAACCCTGGAGGACTCAGTGACCAAGGACCTGCCTGGAAGTTCCCTGTAGGCCACACGCACATGCTGGGAACAGGCCCTTCCTGCCCGATGGCCACAGGGGCTGTCAGCGAAGTCCCCGCCCCATACCAGTCTCCTAGGCAGGCCCTGGATCCTCCAGCCCCCTTCTGCCCACAGACTGCCTGTGCTCAGCACTATGCTTGAGGCTGCCACAGACTACCTTCTGAGCCATAATCTGCTCACACTGGCTGTCAGAAGCTACAGCTGGGTGGTGTGGCTTGCTGTCTCTAACCTGCTAACCTCAGGTCAGTTTGGGGAGCAGAGTGGACAGTTTGTTTTTTTTTTTTGTCGGTCATGGGGCTTGAACTCTGGGCCTGGGCGCTGTCCCTCAGCTCTTCAGCTCAAGGCGAGCGCTCTACCACTTGAGCTACAGCGCCACTTCCGGTTTTCTAGTGGTTTATTGGAGATAGGAGTCTCACGGTCTTTCCTGCCCAGGCTGGCTTTGAACCGCGATTCTCAGATCTCAGCCTCCTGAGTAGCTAGGATTACAGGCGTGAGCCACAGGCGCCTGGCTCAGAGTGGACAGTTTTATCCAGGGTGTCTGGGACAGGAGAAGTACCTAAACATCAGGGCTCCTGGCCCTCTGGAGACCTTTCTTGGAAACCAGAGAAAGCCTTAAGTGGCACCTGAGCCCCCTGCCTGTCATTCTCAAGTTAATGGTTTCACGTGTCCAGCTTCAGTTCCCAGATTCCCACATCCTTCTGGGCTCTGTGTGTTAGGTGGGCCACAGCAAAATGGCAGTGCATCCAAACATATCATTTCCTCAAACCCATTTCTAATTTGCTCTTCTCTTGGCTCTTGAAGGCTAAACAAGAGGGCCTGGGAGCAAGCAGGGGGGAAGGGGGCTCTGCAGGAGGAGGAAGGCCTCTGCAAGTCTTTGACACCAACCTGTCCAGCCCAAGGCAGCTGGACCTCATAGAGCAGGGGAGGGGAGGTCCATGCTAAGGGTTCTACAGCTGTTTGGGTCTTAGATTTTGAAGCACAGCAGGGAGGCTCTTCTTGAGCCTGGGAGAAGCAGGAGCTGGAACCGTACCCGTACAAAACTGGCAGGGAACCAGCCCTCGCCTTCCGCCACACGGCCCCACCACCATTCTCTGTTGGTGGCATCCATCACTTCGATGACATCCCCGGCTTTGAAGCCCAGCTCCTGGTCATCCATGGTGACATGGTCCCAGAGTGCCTCGGCGCACACCACACTGCCATCACTGATGAGCTGTGGATAGAAGCACAGCAGGCCAGTCAGTGGGACCACGGCTGCACGGGGCCCCAGGTAGAGGCTTTCCCTACACTCTGTGCCCACTCACAGCAGCCCTGGGAAGAGGGGAGCCTGACTTGCTTTTCAGAGGGGCTGACTGGGGTTTCCTCCAGGCCAGCAGCTCTTCTGGGGCAGCGCGGTACAGATAGGTAGGGCAGAGTCCTGGCTGTCAGGGCTCAAGGATAGGCCAAAAGAGAACTTGAGAACACATGGTTCCCTCTCTTCCCAGTGACATCTTCACCCTATTGAGCCTTTTACTTTCCTTCTAACATGCCAGGCATGTGCTGCTGGCAGACCCTTCTAAGCACTGTTTAAGGGGGAAGGTAGGCTGCAGGAGGGAGAGGGCCTTATTCCTTCCATGGGCTTCCCTGTGGATATGCTGTGCCTATGAGAACAATCCACAGCCTCTGGTGTCATTCTGCCTGGGTACAGTGTGCTCTGCCCATGCTGTGGCTGGGTCAGGTTGTTGTACTCTTGAATCGCTGTAGAACAGGTCTCATGATTCCTCTGGCTCCGAGAGCAGACCCCCATGTGAGCTGAGGAGCCCCCTCCTCAGATGCCTAAGTTCCAAGACACAGAAATGAGTTTAAATTTACTCAGCTTCTTCGCTTTATTTCCTGTCTGGAGAAGCGTACTAACTCAGCAGTAGGCACCTCTGCATTGTCCTTGTGCACTGTTGCTGAGCCAGGCACATTCCACCTAGCTGACGATTCTCTGTAGTGTTCCCTCTGCTGAGCTTCCTTTCTCCTGAGTGGTATGGACCGACGCACTGTAAGAATTGCTCCCTGCCCCTTGGAGTTGTCTTCTATTGGCTGCCACCTGCTTCCCTGATCCTCACACCTACATGGCTACCAGGCACACCTAGCAGCCAGGCCTGCCCTGTGGCCCCAACTCAGTTCCAGTCACTGTCTAAGAGGTCTGTCTGTGCCACATGATCAGAGACGGATGGGCAGTACAGGAGCACAGAAGCCTGCTCAGGATGGGAGCTTACCTTTCTTTTGGGAGAGCAATGAGCAGGCAAGACCTTGATCACTGCCCAACCACTAGGTTTTTACTATTTCCTGAGGCTGAGACACCCGCTCCAAACCTGATGACCCTGGGGGCATCCACACCCCAGATGCCCTCTCATGGTGCAGTGGCTGTCACCCAGTACACAGCAGAGGGTTATTCTTGGGGACAGCAGGCCTCCCACCTGGCACACATTCCTGCTACAGTGATGAGCTTGCAGGTGAGCCGGATGACACAGAGCCGGGAGGAGGCAAGAGAATCCATGAAGGCCTTGTGAAAAATCAGCCTGCTTTGGGTGCAGAGCTGACCCACCTCCCACAGACATGCTTGAAGGAGATGGCTCAGGAGCAGAAGTAGTGGTACCCCCTAGTAGTGGGTGAGCGGGAGCTCGTGTAAACCCGGGGTCTGTCATCACAGTCCACAGCTCTGGGGGACTGTACCTCACTCAGCAAAGCCCAGCTTCCCAATGTGCTAGTCCCTGAAGGTTCTTGTGTTGTATTAGCTGGCGAAGTGTCTCCCCATGTCCCTAGGTTCACTCAGTTGAGCCCGGTACAACAACAACAACAACAACAAAAAACAAACAGCTGGGTGCCAGTAGCTCACACCTATAATCCTACTCAGGAGCTGAGATCTGAGGATCATGGTTTGTAGCCAGCCTGGGCAGGAAAGTCTGTGAGACTCTTATCTCTAATAAACTACTTCGTAAAGGCCAGAAGTGGTGTTGTGGCTCAAGTGGTAAAGCACTAGCCTTGTGCATAACTAGGTTCTCCGACAGCGCCCAGGCCTTGAGTGTAAGTCCCAGGACCAGCAACAAACAAACAACAACCCTCCTACCCATGGCTTGGTGCCCACCCCTTTTCTCCCATTCTTCAGTCCTGCAGGGAGAAATGGATCCTACATGGGTGCTTTCCCCAGCAGCTGTGGGGAAGCTGTGGAAGGTACAGGAACAAAAAGGCAAGACTTCACGAAGACCAGGGTTCTGGGCACTATTAGAAACGAGTCTCTGGCCTATCCTACCAGGTATCCGGAAGCCTGAGATGGCGGAGGAGGGGTTAGTCAGTCATCTTGGTTGTTTCCAGAAAGGTGCACAACACAGGAGCTCCAGAATAACACATAGCCTTGAAGGTGTTTCCGGATCCACCCGTTCCCCGAGTAGCTACTGTCTTCTCTGTATGGGCAGACCCACGCAGGAGGCCCTCTGCGGAGTGGGCGCCTGACATCAACCCTGCCTGTGATGTTGTCGCCAAGACAATGCGTCTGGGAGACAGCAGGGAGGGATACATTTCCCCTGAGCGCAGGGGAGGCGATCCATCCGCATGGGAGCCCCGCTCGCTCGCTTGCTCGCACCTGTCAGGCGCAGCTGGCTCACAGTGCTGATGGGCACTACTCGTTTTAGGGCCAAAAATGGGAAACGCAACTGCAGCTGCTGTGTGTGGACCCAGGCGTCTCACACAGCCCTGTACGAGCTCCTTTCCCCTCATCCTGCGGTCACATGCGCGCCGTCCCCGGATCGCCCCGGTGCCTGCGTCCCCAGTGACACGGAGAAGCGCCATGTTGCCCTTCCCTCTCCAGCACGGACCAGAGATGGAAAGACCCGCACGTGGGCTACCACGCCCCTCAGGCCCCGGCAGGATGGCGCCCCTGGGTGCGGCGCGCAGACCGGGAGCTGGCGGCCGGGGGCCCAGCGGGAGCCGCTCAGCCCTGCGCGGCGCGGCGCTGACCACTCACCCTGACGCGGCGCGGCCTCCGGTTCGCTCAGCGGAAGGCCAGCAGGAAGATCAGCACGACGTTGACGAGGACCAGGAGCACCAGCACCGCGGAGACCACCACTCGCTGCGCGCCCGGGGGCAGGTTACAGCGCAGCAGGGCGCGCAGGGCACTTCCGGGCGTGGCGGGGCCGCGTCGGGGCTGGGGGCCTTTGGCCATGACGCCCGGCTCCCCGGGGCTCCGAGAGGCCCGGAATCCCGCGGCGCTGCAGGGCCGGCGCCGGCAGCCCGCAGCGCCCGGGAAGGGGCGGAGCCGTCCGCGCTCCGATCGCAGACCGGGCTCCTCCCGCGCAGCCCGCCCGCGTGCGCGTGGCATCTCCAGGCCCGGATCCCGGGGACGTGCGGAGAGGAGAGCGCGGGGAGGGAATGTTGGGGCCGGAGGAGGGCAGAGCGCACGTCGGGCCCGGGCCGGGTAAGGCGGAGCCCAGGGGTCTCAGCGGTCCTTGTACTGCTCTCTGCCCCCTCCTGGGGAGGGCTGCCGGACTAGCAGATGGGCCTTGTGGGGGCAGAACGCCCAGCATCTTTGCATCATCGCTCTGGGGCCGGGTGGGCTAGGAATTCTGATCCCTAAAAGCTGCCCACAGGCCCCCCGCCCCGCTTCCAAGGTCAGTGTGACTCTGAAACAGGCAATTTGCGCAGTCACATGGTCACTCAGAAATGCAGGTAGAGCAGAGCCAGGATTTGAACCCCGGAGGGACTTGATTCCTGCGGAAGGGCTCCACATCACTACTGCTGGAGGAACATTTTGTTTACTTGGACAAGTAGTTAGTGTCTTCAGCTAGTGTCTGTAAAACAAACCAGCTACACTAAGTACCCAAGTTCCTCTAACTCCCTGGAGTCCCCGACTTTAACTGTCCAAAATCACAGCTCACAAGCAGAAGGCCTCATCCTGTCCACAGCAGAGTGCTCGTTTGTAACTTCACATCTGAGACCAGGAAGGTAGCTGGTGGGGCTGAGGGCTGGATGGTCACGGCTCACCCTTGGTGGCTGAACTGCACGCACAGGCATCCCTGTGAGTATGTGCATGAGTGTGTGCCGGGGCCACATCTACCTTACAGATGGGACCATCTATGGAAGACCTTAGGGCAGTGTTTGCCAGGTGTGTGTGTACATGCAGAGGCATGTGTGCCCATGTGTGAAGGGGCTAGGTCTACGTGCGTGTGTGTATATATGGGTGCCTGTGGATATGCGTGTGATTTAATCATATAAGAGCTTTGTGTGCCGTGTTTGTGCCTGTGTGTGTGTTATCCATGTGTGTACTTCATAACCAAAAAAGCTTGAAGGCACAGGTCAGGCCCCTGAGGAGCTCCAGTTAGACTGCCCCAGAGAAAAGGGTGTCTGCATGTTTGCCAAGGTGGCGAAACTTAGGTAGAAGTGAAGGAGGCAGGTGTCTGGGGCAAGTGAGGGCTGAAGTTCTGGTGGTGTGGCTTCGGGTAACAGGAGGAGGAAGACTGCTTTGGACACGCTGGTCACCAGGCAGTCTGGCAACTCTGTGCTAATTGTTGTGGCCCAGAGAATCTGGAGTTGCACTGGTCTGTTCTCAGGAAGCCTGTAAGCCTGGTGGTTGTAGAGCCCAGCAAGGCTGAGCACAGGTGTCTGAGATCCTGACAGCACCAGGCTCCTGACAAGGCAGGACCTATGTGTCCATTGCCTCAGGGATTGGGGGAGAAGAAGGCAGCCAGAAGTTGGCTGCAGGGCCTGTAGCATCCTCTCCATGCGCTGTGGAGTGCTGACGGGCAGGTCTGTCTTTGGGTGACCTTGTGTTTGTATGGGCTCAGACAGCTCTGCTTCCTACCTCATAATTGATGGTGCTCCCTTGTAGGTATAAAGTGCAACTCAGACAACACTGTCTATGGCTTTCCGTTCATGTCTATCCGTCTTCTGCTTTAGGCTTCATCTCCTCTCAGCAAAAGGGTCCAGAGCAAGTTTAGGTCTCCCCTTACCATTCCCTATTTGGAGGTGCACAGATGAAGGACTAGTCCCCTACCACTCAGAGCCGCATGGGGAGTAGATGGAGACAAGAGGGAGCTCCAGCTATGGACTGATGTGTACAGGCCAGGCTGCCATCCACTCATCCATAGCCCGGCTACCTTGGTTGATCACGGCACTAACAGCAGGGGCAAGGGTGGGTCTGGTGGAGAAGGCATATCTGTCCAGCACTCCGGGACAGGGAACTTCCTCCTTTCAGCCTCAACTTTTCAGAAGCCAAGGATGGCTTCAGGCCTGCTGGCAGAGCTGACGAGGCCCATTCCAGGTGGGCTAAGCAGAGAGGGCAGACAGGCAGGCCAAGGCCCCAGTCATGAGCATTTGGGGAGGGGTCTGGGGCAGGTGATGGTGGAGGAGAGGGGCCCTCCGGTACAGTAAGGGTAACCATCACTGTGCTCTGCAGGTCTGAAGAGTCACTAGACTCATGGCACAAGTAAGAAATACAGATATAACAAGACCCTGTGCCTTCTCAGACCACAAAAAGCAGGAAAGCCCCCCATGAACTTACATTCCCTACCCTTCCCCCCCCCCACAGCCACACACACACACACACACAGCCACACATACACACAGCCACACTCCTTGCTGGCAACTCCCTGCAGGCAGAATTGTGTCTTCCACACATCTGCATCTAAAGCTAGGACGCGGTACATGGGCACGGAATTTAAAAAAATTAATTTTTGTGTGAGTGCTGGTACTGGGGCTTAAACTCAGAGGCTGAGCATACTCCTGAGCTTTTTTTTGTCCAAACTACCACTCTACCACTTGAGTCACAGCTCTACTTCCAGACATTTGGTGGTTAATGGGAGATAAGGGTCTCACAGACTTTTCTGCCTGGGCTGGCTTTGAACTGAGATAGTCAGATCTCAGCCTCCTGAGTAGCTAGGATTTTAAGAGTTACCCTCCAGCACCTGGCTCAGTACATGAATTTTATATGCTTGTGGCACACATATACATACAACATACCCACAACCTTCATGTATGCCATGTTCTTGTTCTCTCTTTGTTTCTGTGTCTGTCTATCTCTGCCTCTGTTTCTCTCTCTGTGTGCTCTATCTTTGTATGACCCTTGCCCCTGAGGAAACTAAGAAGTGGTCTCCTTTGTCCTATGGCTAACATGAACAAGAAAGTATCACAACATAGAACAAGACATCCCACTATGTTGAAAATGAACAACTTGCAGAAGGGATGGAAGGGAAAAACTGGGAAAGAGTGAAAGAAGGAATGACAGTGCCCCAAAAGAAATGTACTCATTACCTGACTTAGGAAATAGTAACCCCCTGTTCATCACTTTTATAATAACAATTAAAAAAAACACAAGACATCCATATAGTCTTAGAAAATACAAGTGAATTTTAGGGTAAGCCAAATATTACTGAGTATGGATGCTTTTCTGGCACCTGTTGCTTCAATGATCTCCAAGTGTGAAATTCATGGTAACTCCCAGCAAAGCTTCTTGCTGAGTTTACGTGGTTACATTGAGTTCACAAGGGAGGTGGGTGGAAGGCCAGGGAGCTGGCCCAGTATTGGACAGTCACAGAGTCTTACATAACTTAGAGTTTCTGGTAAGGAGGGCCTATTTAATGTCTCTACTAGCAGATCATCACTGACACTTAAATCCCCAGTACAAGCTGGGCCCAGTGAGTCCTCTGTAAACCTGTGCCCCACAATGAGAGGGGTCTGACTGGTGGCTGGCCCTCCTTAGATCCAGAGAGGTGGCTCTCACACCTGGCTTGCCCTCCCACCTGCTTCTTTCACAGACTGATTTCTTGGCCTTTCCATATCAGGACCTACCTGTGCCTGTGTCTGGCATGAAGGTGACTTGCATGGTGGTCCACCTGTGAGAGGAGCCAGCCTCTTCCCTTGAAGCCCACTGGCTCACTGGAGAGGAACACCTAGTTGCTCACTGTCTCCCCTGGGATGCAGTGCCCTCTGGTGGTAAAGGGTACAGGAAGGCCATGTGCCCTACTTGTAAGGTAGACCCAACAACTTCCAATCCCAGGCCATTCCCTGAGTCCATTTTAGAGCAGTTCTTGCTTTTGGCTTCCCTTGGCCAGAGTCTTTGAATGAATCACTCTGGTCTAGCACCTAAAGCCCCCTCTCCCCAACTCCAGCACCTCTGATCTCTGCACAGGAGCAACACATGACAGTCCAAAATTGCACTGCTGAGAAAGAGATACACCACTATGAAGATAGACACTACACCAATGCAGTATATAAGGCCAGTCAAGCAATACCCAAAACCCTGGGGGGCCCAGAGGGCTTTTTATGATTATTTCTTCATTATCTTTCTAATTATTGGAGGCCTCTTGAGAACCTGCCCCATACCGGGCAGTGCTCCTCATTTCAGATGTCTTCAGCAGTGCTGTGGCCACCAACATGACAGCTAAGCTACATGGCTACGTGCTGAGGGCTCCATACCCTGCACACATACCAGGCTCTGATAGGTGAACTCCCACTCCTAAAGCTGAGCCCAAGGCAAAGTGCAACCGTTGTATGTGATTTCAGAAACGGACCCCTCGCCCACATCTGCATTGGAGGAAAGATCTAGACTCCACTAGCAGTCTACTGTCTCCACGAGTGCAGTAGCCCTGTTTCTAACAAAGCAGAGGCTTTCCAGTGTCCCATGGCCAGGGGATTGAGGGGTTGCTATGGCACCTGCTTGTGCTGAACATTTGGCTAGCAACCGTTGTGTTCTACCACCCCCTCCAAACTCAAAGAGCTGAGAAAACAAGAGAGGATGGTTAGTGGGTACAGAGCTGCTGCTGGACAGCAGGAGTCACTTCTAATGCTTTATACCACAGCAGGGTAACCACCATGGATGTCAATTAAGAACAGTTCAAAGTAGCTAGCAGAGAGGTCTTTGAATGTTCTCAACACAAAGAAATGGTAAATGTCTGAAGTGATGGGCATGCCAAGTACCTGCCATCTGATCTCTACATAGCATACACATTTTCTGAAATGTCACACACTGTAAATGTGCCCTATAAATACACACAATCATGCGTCAACTGAAAAGTATAAAAATACGTTAAAAAATTCTCTCTCAAAAATTCTTGCAAAAGGAGAATTTGGGATTGGAACCAGTTCTGCCCAGCTGAGATTTATCACTCATTTCTTTTGCTTAGATAGGAAATAGCAGAAAACAGTCACTGACACACAGTTGTCATAGCAACA